CCCGCCAAGAGATGGTGCAAGCATGCGATGGCACAAACGCCTGGTGATGAAAGCCCAGTACGGGTTTTAAGACAGTTGGTCATGAATTAGTAACTCTTACAGGAATCTGATGAAATCGTGTATCCCGCATAATATTCAAACAACATTTTTTTTCATTAACTTCTCAACGTCCCAAAAATAGACCGAAACAGCGGTTTGTTTTGTCATCGAACATTAGGTTTATGTTACTTTCCAGGACCTTTACATGCATCGGAACATATGTGACGGTCAGAGCCGTATATGTAGAAAGTTTGGTCAATGGGAGGTGCGAACAGAGCCAGGGCGTGCGGCAGACTCGGAAAGAGGGTTTGGCATGCTCTCTTGACCAACCAGAAGCCGAAAAGAATCCCCTAGCGGTGGTAGCGTGAAACAGTTCTGAGCCGATCGATCATCGAAGGTCTCTGTTCGTATATGGTTTTAATAAGTGCGTAAGAGTGAAGTGTAGTAACTCTTTGTGGTTGAAAATAGGGTGCACGTGTTGTTTCATCATGATCATGCAGAAAGATGTAAGAAACGAATGCGCCGCTCAACTCTGTTTTGCGCGGACAGAGTGTGACCGCTCTGACGGCAGATTCCCGGCGCTCGGCGTTTGGCGTAAGGATTATGTCGATCTTTCCGCTAGTCGCACTCTTCCACCATCATTTTAGATGAGTGTGATTGAAACATCAGGTGTACCATATTTTCAGCCATCGAGAGTTACTCCAATGCAGTTATCAGGTTTGTTTCTCGCGACCACCGCCAGGGTATTATTTCCGGCTTCTGGTTGGTCACATTCGAATTTCTGAAGACGCCCTGGAACACGCCCAGCCCGCTTTCACCCAATGGCGCCGCTTCATTTGTCTCCTATACTTCCCAACGAATGGCCAAACTCTCTACATATACGGCTCTGGTGACGGTCATCGACACACAGGGTTGGTTGCCGTCGCTCTATGAAGCGCAGAAACTGCTCCCCGCTTTCTAGTACAGCCCACCCCGGTTTATGCGTGTAGGTATGCCTCGGGGACGACTGCGCAGCTACTTCGTCTCGCCGGAGGATGGCTTTGAACGTCTCTCAAACGGGTGACAGGCGTCAATTTCACGATGACGTAGAGGCGTCAAAGAGGGCAGAGCTGCGGCGCGTGTGTTGCGACTTGCTAGGATGGGTTCCTCCATCCTTTTACGCCACTCCCGTGACCTTTTTCCTCAAATTTCGAAACCTAGTGATCTAGAAGGCGACTTGTGAAAGGGTCTTTGGGTAAAAATCATGTGTCTTAAGAACCGAACTCCAAATTGCGTTACGGCATTTTGTAGAGCTAGTTGAACCCCTCTACCTTTGTGTCGCATGAAAATGAAATTATGCTGTCCAGATTAAAAATATCAATGTTGCTTAATATAATAAAACAAGCTCTTTCTTTTGTAACTGTGCTTGTCATGTGAATTTTCCAGGTATGGTTAGATGTCAGAAACAAGCAAAGGTACTTCCATTCTCAATACTACTTTCTATATACCGCTGCTATACAGCTTTTACTAGAATATAAATCCTTTCGTTTCCTTGTACACTGTGGGTTCTTTGTCTTCGTTAGGTTGGTTGTAAGATGGCGCTCTCTGAGATTTTAAATATTTTACGGTAAATGACACAATTATCGACGAGACCTATATTAAAACTGAAAGAAATGTGAAATGGGTCCCCTTGTACGCAGCAGCAGAGGCGGTTCCAGCATGCTTTTTTGTGCTATACCTGATTCGGCCTTGACTGAGGAAGCAGAGCATGCCATATTTGGCCTACAACGTTCTGGTGTATAAAAAGTTTACAACATTTACCTATTGTCGGTGCGACAATAGGTAAATGTAAAATACAGACGAAAGTTTTATTTTTTTCATTTTTTTTTTTATACAGAGGTAGAACTTGCTATAACTTAAAACGCCCCTCTCCCCCTATAGAAACGGAGGTATTGAGGCACCCTAGACTGCTTAAAACTCTGTCCCATCAGTTGAATATGATAACATTTTTAGTATGAACATATTCCATACATAGTATTATGGTACTCAACCAAATTAAGCTGGGAAACTTTAAAAAAAGACTACACTAACCACGTCACAGATGCGGTTTTGATATCGGTCACAATCGGTGCAATTCGACGAATATACATTACAGAGAATAAATCTCGCAGGCAGGCAGCAGTGATAAAAAAAAAAAAAAAAAAAAAAGATCCGAAATAGCAGCTGTAACACGAACGAGTCCAGTGTTTTATTTACCTGTGCTTGATCGCTTCGCAAAGAATCCTGGTTTACACCTGGGCTCAGTAACGCACTGGCAGAAAGCCGATAATGTACGGGTAAAACCCACGAGCGGAAGTTACGTCAGAGATGCCGCAGTGCGCTCGTTTGATCGCAGAAGTCTCCACTGAATTTCCACGATTCTCGAAATGCTGCAGGCTGCAACCCGTCGCGTCCTCCGTTCGTATTTGCAGGCAACGCAGAAATGCTGGCCGAATTTCCTTGGTGCCTCTCACACAACCGCGGCAGGAATCAGCTGCTTTCCCGTGTTGGGAAGACAAGCGGCGGCAGTGAGTGACGACGGCTTAGCAACAATGGCCGGCATCGGTACGTATCAGCGCTTCAAATAATCAATTTTTAAGAACAACTCTCATTTCTCATAACGGGAATCGACGCCCTCTGTTCTCAATATATTACTTTTGGAACGTTGCCGTTAAGGGTGTTCAGTCGAAAGAAATGGGGGGGGGGGGGGGGGGGGGGGTGGACAGTATAACGTATAGAGACTACTTCATTCGCACAAGGTTGACCCACTGATCTTTACTATAAGGTAGAGTAACTGTATATGCTCCGGACCAGAGTACCGCAATGGTGCCATTCTGGAGCCAAGCACTGCGGGAAGCCACGGTCGGTTTTTGCAGGGGCCCGAAGGCGCAGACGCGAGGCGTGCTGCGGCGCGCTGCGGAAGGAAAATGCGGAGGGCAAGTTCGTCTGCTTCTTGCGCAGGGGGTAGCGATGACGTCAGAACGCCGAGCCCTGATTGGCTGATCGGGACCCCCTATCCGAACGTCGTCTGCTCCTTTGCAACGTCGTCTGCTCGCAACGTCGTCTGCGTCTGTCTTACCGTTCCTGCGACTTTCGGAAGTGAAGAGGCCAGATTCACGAAACGATCTTACGCCAAAAATATGCGTAAGACAAAACTTGAAAACAAATTCGTATTCACGAAAAAAATTTTCGTAAGTTTTGCGCAGGTTACGACGAAATCCTACGATGGCTCCGAAGCTGTCTTACCCACTTCTTACGATCAAATAAATTAGCATGGCCGACAGCGTCGCAGTCGGGACGACCAACGGACGTTTATTTTTCTACGTGCGCTTCTCACGCGTCCCGACTTCAAGCAGCATGAAAAAAGTAAAAAGTACTTGAAAGAGACCACGACGAACGAGAACGCTGGATCCACAAACACCCGGGAAAAGCTCCAACGGCCATGATTCCACCGACAACGACCAAGCGAGCACGGCAGATAGGCCTAGCAGGCACTCCGACTCGGCGACCGTCTGCCCACGACCGGCTGGCGTACTGAATGGAATATGCCCGAGCGACCCTTGTGAACCCTTCCCGTCTTATACGTTGATCGCTGACCTCGATTTTAGATTAAGAGGTCAATCTCTTCCTCTTGTCATCTCCTTGTTTTCCGAGGCAACGGTGACTCTCGCCGGTAAAAAAGCGGTGAATCTCCGACAAGCGCAAAAAGGTAAAGCAGCCATCGCTTTGACTAGCAGATGTCAAGCAGACGACGTTAAATGCGCCAACCCGCCGACGCCGTTAAAGAGTGAGGAGTCTCGCCGCACACGAAAGGAGGGAAAAAGTATTTGGGAGGGAACTTGCGTACACTAACCACCCTCACCACTCGGTTCTTAGCAAACAAACCTCGGCGCCTCGGGACACCTCGCCAGTGAGTCCTTTGACTTCTCTCCTTGATGCGCGTCTGCTAGTAGTTATACAAAAACAACGTACCGCTCGAGTTATTTCGTCTGCCCTCTCTGAAAGGCGAAGTCGAGTTCGCTCGTAAAAACCTGCACTTCCGAAAGTCGCAGGAAAGGTAAGACAGACGCAGACGACGTTGCAAAGGAGCAGACGACGTTGTAAAGGAGCAGACGACGCTGAGATGGGGGTCGCGATCAGCCAATCAGGGATCGGCGTTCTGACGTCACCGCTACTTCCTTTCTCATGCGCAGAAGACAAAAATGAGCCCACTTGCGAGGCGTATAGTGCGGCGTGCGGCGACGAGCCGCGGATGCGCCGCCATCGTTCTCCCGTTGTTTCTGTGTGTTTCCCTCTCGATTGCAAAGAGTGCACCCGCGTATGCACCCGCGGGTCCCGCGGGTCGCGTGTGATGTCGTCAAGTCGCTGTTGCTGGGACGCAGATAGCGTCGTGAGCCCGCTGTCTGCACAACGTTTGGAGGACCTATCCCCTCGAGCGATCGCAAGAAGCAAAAGAACGCAGGCTTGCAAATTTTCCTCCCGTGTTTAATCGAAGAGCGGGTGCCGCTGCTCAGCCCCTGACTTTTCTTTTTTTTTTTTTGAGCTGACATTTTATTTGATATTTTGTAGACGGAGCAGTGCTTTACCCTCGTGCGTCCCAATTATATGTGAATCTGAGGAATGTCGAGCACCCGCACTTTCATGCTAAAGTAGTGCACAACTTTTCTTTCTTTTTTATCCAAAGTTTTTGCCATTTCACGAATTCGAGACGCCCGAATTGAGAGCTCTTGGAGACAGGAATTTTCGCATGCTTTCAAGTTAGGCTAAATTTTAAATTTGCTTGAATCGCAAACATTAGGGTCTCGCGAATAATAGATGTTAGACGGTGCTCTAAATTTTGGGAGATGCCGCAAGGTGCAAACTGCGTAATAAAAAAAAAAATCCACCGACGTTTCTTTTTTAATGCGGACAAGTCTTTGAAAACACTGTCCAATTCGTTGCAGGGATACGAGATTGGCTGTTTTCCTATGGACCAGTATATTCCGTAAATAGGGTGATAGAGCTCTGTCTATTTTCAGTGTGTGACACCTACCTACATCTCGCTTTCTTTTTTATTTTGAACATTTCGCTAAACATATTAAACTATTCTACTACCAGCGACACGGTCCTTTGAAGAAATTACGAACAGGCAAAAAACTTACAGGCTCTAAAACATGTTTATTCACACAGCTGCCGGCAGAAATTTTTTTGGAGTATTGTAAAAGGAAAGACAATAATTAAAAATTATCTCCTTCCCATACGAAAAAGCCAGACCGGGCGGCGTATCACATCGTGTCATGACGGCAGAATTCAGTGTAAGCTCTTGCCGCTATCTGCGCGATTTGTGCACTTGGTAACGCTGCAGCCTGTCATTTTCACGGGGCTCTTTCAACGCTCATGCAAAATTCAATTCGGTGAACGACGCAGCGGTGGACGAAAACGCCGTCCCCCTGCTTTCAAGGAAGAGTTCGCCGACTCGCCAAGATGGCCGGATGTGCCGGTCCCGTATCGCGTATCACTCCGCGGGAGCCGCAGACGCGCGTAACGCAATCGTCGTCCCTGTCATCTGCTTTACATACCATGAAAACGAATGTCCCAAAACAGCGCTCGCGTTATAAAAAAAAGGGATTGTACTGTACCCAGTTGATACACAAATAGCCCAATGACTTAGGAAGCTTTCGGTTCGTTCGATTTTGGTCTGGGATCTATATTTTGCAAACGCAAAGCGGAAAAAATGTTCCCCCCGAAACTCGGCGCTCTGGAAGGCCGCTTTCCCACATGAAGGTCGGATCCAGTTCTACCCACGTGACCACTCCTCCGCCAATACGGAGATGGCGGCGAAAGGAAAAGGAACGCGATACTCAGGCTCTGCAAGTAGAGCCTATACAGTTACTCTACTATAGGGGGCTGGATGGCGCCGCCGCTTAGCTTCTCTCTGAGCCGAACGCAAGTGAAGCCTCCGCAAGTTTGATGCTTGTACCGGAAGTAGGGCACCTGCTAGACTTCCTAGGGAATTCGGTCGATGTTTTGGTTCATGCCTTTTCGTGTCTTTGAGTGGGCTTTATTAACCACGTTTTGAATTAAAACGCCCGAATAACGTATTTCAAAGTGAAACATGTGTACACTCGATCAACTAGTGTTTAAAAATGTTAGTATCAAATGTCTTCCCAAGGTACTTTTTGGGTCTGTATGCGCTCTTTATGTGCAACAAGCAGGCTCTCTTGAGATGACAAGCACAAATGCAGCGCCCTTTTCGATTTTCGAACCAGCACTCGGAAGAGTTCCAAAGCCTGTAAAGCGCTCACTTCAGTGATAAGACACTTACTTCAGGCGCATTCATACATGTTTGCTCAACGCATCATCCATCCCCTTATTTGAGATCAGTGAAATTTCCCCAACCTCTTCTTGAGTGGACCACGACCTGCGGGCTTATTTAGCTACCCAGCGAGAGAAACATTCCATGAAAAATCTGAAATGGCGGGAAAGAACTTTCACTTCTAAAACGAAGAGGAGGTATGTTTTCATGCGTGTAAGTACCTCCTGGGGAGAAAAGTCGTAGTGTTGTATTCGGTTCTCCTACTAGAATCCAGCAAAGATGGCACACGAGCGCTGCTCACTGTTCCGCTAAGACTCCGGTTTAGTCAGAGAGAACTCTAGACCCAGCCAGGCGCTGGCACGTCACTCGTGTCCAATTCTAGTGGGTGACTTAGTTATCCAGTGCTGCGACCTCGTTATCGAGGAGGCCTAGCACGAGCACGCTCTTTCCGGTCTCTTGTCGAGAGCAGAAGCACACATTTAGTTACGAAAACGGCTGCCCCTTTCGCACGCGAGGTCTCCCCCTTGCAGCTACCCACCGTCGTGAAAGTGCGGATCTTTAGGACTTCAATAACATAAATAAGACTGTGCTTCATACCTCGTCCGGCCAGTAGAGAGCCTAGACCGAAGAGAGGGCGCAACTTCAACCAAAGGGACCGTTGATAACATCATGGCGGTCGCCTATTGCGCCATTTGGTCGCAAGTGCGCATGCCCTGTGTTGTCGAATCACGAGGACTAAAGCGGCCGCAAACACTGAGACGCTGGCCGACGATCAACGCTGTCAGCACCTCCTCGCAGCTCGTATTGCAGACGCGGTCCACAGGTCACGTGATCCGGTCGAGCAGTTGAAAACTCTCTGAAACGTAGGCTCTCTACCAGCCTATGTCTACTATGGCACCGTCTGTATTCCAGAGACGATGAGAAGGGGAGGCAGCGCGGGCGATGCAGCCGTGGCAATGGCCGCTGTCCTTCAAGTGGTGTCGCCCGTAGGCTCTGGCGTCGGCGGAGACTGCTTCGGAATCTTCTACGACGCTTCCACCGGCTCGATACGCTGCGTTGACGGAAGGTAGGCCCCACCGATGCCTCCTTGGTGACAAGGCCGCGGGGCTCGACTTATACGTCACTTAATGGAGGCCAACACCGGCCGCAGATTCGATATGAGTGCTGCATCAGCGTCCGACTGGGAGTCTTTTCCCATCCCGATTACGCTCACTCACCTCACTCACCCTCACCGATGAGGTGTGAGGTGAGGGTGAGCGAGTTCTTAAGCCTCGAAAACTCGTGAGCCTGATATTTAGTGAGGGACGTGGGGTGTTCGGTGGGAGGCGTGAGTTCGGTAAGGGGCGTGAGTTCGGTAAGTGCATGAGTTTATTGAGTTCATAAGTTCAGTGAGTTCATGAGTTCGATGAGTTTATGAGTTCGGTGCGGGCGTGAATTCGTGAGCTCGGTGAGTTCTTTAGTTCGGTGAAAGTAGTTCTGGAGGTCGGTGAGTGCATGAGTTCTGTAAAGGACGTGAGTTATGGAGGTCGGTGAGCACATGAGTTCGGTGAGTTTAAAGGCCGGTGAGGTCATGAGTTTGGCGAGGCATAAGATCCCTCAGGGGCCACGGGTTTGATGAAAGTTTGTGGTGTGACGCCGAAGAAGGGCGGGTCATGTGACTGCTCCGTGCATTTCCGGGGAAGTTTAATCGACGCTCGCTTTGCAATGGCGCTGTTAGCTCGAACGGCTGTTTCTCTGCGAGTTATAAGAAAAGAGGAGTGTGGCCTATTTATTGATCTCCGCTGTTGGGCTATGGCTCGTTTCGCGGCGGCTTGGTGTGGTCTCTTGTCGCTGGTCGCTTCTTCGTGGCAGCGTGACGAGAGACACGGCAGACTCTCCTGCTTGCCTCGGCCGCTTTCCTGTAAGCTGCGAGGTACCGTTACTCGAGCGGGATTTTGTTGTTTCGTGAAAGAGGCAGACGGACGCTACGTCAGTACACCTGAAGGCAGACGTTTCTATCTGGAGTGCACTCCAGATAGCAATATTGAATAGTGAATCCAATATTGAAAGGAAAGCCGGCTGGGAACTGTCGACATTCGCCTCTATACTTGTGTAAAGACAATCGGGCGGGCAAGTAGGTTCTACGATATGAGGATATATGGCGCAAAAACACAAGTGTGTTGTTTTGCCCTATATATCATCATGATATGCTTCTGTCCTAGTTGTAGCCTAGAATTCGGTATAAAAAAGTACACATAGACGTCTTCGTGCTCGAGTACGTTCGAAACGCCAGACTGGTTAGCAATTGGGTTTAAAGGCTGGTGCGTTTAGTTGGTAGCGTGTAAACACTAATTCGATTGTGGATTGCCATAGAACAAATGTAGACGATACGTTTCTAGATGACATTGAAAAAGCGATATGAAGCGATCTTTTTTAGTTTCACTTAATATTCGCGATAAGAAATCGACGTTCCTAACCTATGTGACACCCCATAATCCACTTAAGAGTGGGCCGTTGAGCATAGTCGGAATACTGCCTGCACCTTAAATCGTTTCGCGGTTCGGAGAAAGTGTTTTCTTAATTGCCCCGATAGTGTTCACAATGAGTTATGATTTTTATATATTAATATTTATCAACCGGCACTGACCCAGGTGCATGTCTCAGTCGTTTACTAGGAGCGCTATTTGTCTTTTTCAAAACACGATTTATACTTATACGAGTGACTAACACGGGGGAAGGTGTGAGAAACAATCCTAAGTAATAAAACAAAATATTTGATATCTGTTCATGTGCATGCGTGGACGGAAGCAAACTTACCCGCCGGAAAAAAATTATGTACCCCAATGTTTTTGTATTTAGCAAAACACATCTCAAAGAATTGTAGACCATTTAATTAGGTTGCATGAGCGCGCCCTTCCTCCTCCACAAACATAGCCTGGATATCCGCATTGGGCTATCGGCAGTTACAAGTTACAAATATACATGGTAAAATAACTTACGCTTACACCAGTACGACGTTTATTCATTCAGATTTGTGAATAGCAATTAAAAATTGCTGTCCATCAGAAATAATCAATGATTTTAATAGAAAACGCGACTTTGTACATGCATTTTGCAAAATTTTGTACTCAGCGTATTGACAAGTTTTAATACAAGCAAACATTGTTTGAACAACACAAATACCAAAAGCATCTGACACCGATCACGATTTTATGTCAGGATCCATAAAATATAACGTTTTACGAGGCACATAGTCGGTAGATTAGAACGTTCTAGTTTTAATTGGTATGTGCGTACAAGAGAAAACGAGAGACGCGATAAAAACTAATATACAATAATGTGGCACGCACAAACTTTTTCAATGGTTCATTCTACAAGAAAAAATATATCCACCAGGCAGTTATTTTAGGAAGTATAATTTGCGTGAACGATGATTAATATACAAACATACCGTCCTGAAATAGTTCTACTCGACAATGAATTGCCTTGCAAACTGTCCTACCATTAATGAGAATTTCGCATTATATTACGCAGAAGTAAAGTACAATCCCGTGGCGCTGCGCGTTGGAATAAAAATACTACATGCCTGAGTAAAAAGCGACGCAGACGTTCACCCAGTACTTGCCCGAAGTTGTCGCGAATGCTTGAAACAAACATTGCACACCGTAAAAAATACCTCTTCCCGAAACTCGGGATGATGCACCTTTGTATGCC